AGGTAACTCGCTACCTCTTTTCGTCCTAGCTGTTTGATTTTTCCTGTCTAGTATTCTGTCGAATACGGCATTAAAATCCCCCACCACGCAGATGTCATCATATTCTTGTTTCACCAGTAAGTCTCTGAGCCGCCGAAAAAAAATTTCTCGGCCGCAACTGGGGGCATATATATTCACAATCAGCAATGTTTTATTGTCTTTAAAAAATTTTACAATCAGAGTTCTGCCATCCTGGGAATCGTAAACTAATTCTGGAGCAAAAACTGATCTAACGTATGTTACCACCCCTTTCTTTTTCTTGCTCCTATCGGATGATGCAAACATCTCTCCTAATTTTTTGTTTTCTAGATACTTTTGATGTTTCCTTTTTATATGCGTCTCTTGCATACAAACTATATGTGGGCTAATCTTAAGCAGCTGATGGAAAGTCCTTTTCCTTTTCTGGGGTCCATTGAGGCCGTTAATGTTAATTGATATTAGTTTAGTTTGCATATTCCTTTTGTTGTCCATCTTGTTTGTTTGATTTGTCATCTCTATCATGTCGTCTGGTACGAACTTGGAGAGGGATCGTATCTTTTCTCTGGGACCTTCCACTTCTCTTCTTTTTGGTTGTCGTTATTTGTTCTTCAGCTCCATCTTCCGATTCCTCCCTCTCCTCTTCCTCTTCTTCCTCTTCTTCCTCTTCCGAGTCACTACTGTCTAATGTTTGTATGTCCAGTTCCTGTCCATTCTTTTTTATGAAATTTTCCATTTTGTCAATCGAATTTATTTTATACCATCTTGAGTTAAGATTAAAAAGGACCCCCTCTGGTGTCAGCCATTTAAATCTGATCTTTTTTCGATTCAGGCCTGTTGTTAATTTGGAGTAGATTTTCCTTTTTTCTCTAATTCTCCAGGGGATATCTCTCAGTATCTTTATTTCCTTATCTTGGTAGGTAAGAGGTTTATGTGACGCTTTTTCCAAGATTAGTTCTCGTAGACGTTTTCTAGCAAACTTCACGTGGACCTCCCTGGCGAGTTTGTTTCTTTTTGCAAAAGCTGAATTCATACGATACGCTAATTCAATATCATCATTTATTCGGGTTGTCTCTTTCTCTTCCAAAAAATCCACTATGAGTTGTGTCATCTTATTCTTAATATCCTCTCCATCCTCCTCAGGTATATTTTGAAACCTTAAGAGGTAAGCTGCGTTCTCTAATTCTAATTTGGATACCGTTTCTTCCAAAGCTTTTATTTTTACGTTGTTGTCTTCGGTCACATTATTTATCGTTGTTACCGTGTTGGTCAGTGATTCAACCCTCTGTTTGTTACCTAGAGCCAATTTTCTTGTTTCCTCTAACTGACCGCTGACCTGTTGTATTAGGCAGTCAATTTTAGTTTGCATCGGCTCCAGTGCTTTTCCTACCGCTGGGTGCAGCGCAGAGTCAAGTGCTGAGCCTAGTGCCTCTGGTAAAGCTGCGGCCATTGCCCCTTCAACAGCTTGGTTTACTGCTGCTTTTACTGCCTCTTGTATCAGCGTATTCAGGTCTTTGGTGTTTATCTGTATCATTCCTGCCTGCCCTGGCTGTCCAGAGAAAGAGGGTCTTCTTGTTCCACTTGCCATTGTTAAATTGATTTTATCTCACTCACCACCCACTGCTAAATGGGTAGACCCTGTCCTAAATAGGCAATAACAAGTTGTACTCAACTGAATCACTCTACAATCACTCTACAATCACAATAGGGTTACTTGACATTAAAGTTTTGTGGCTTACACCCCTCCTATTGTTCCTCCTGCCCACCACCCCATCAGCAGCAATAAATTGTTTCCAATATTTCAGGATATTTCAAACACTTTACAGAATTGGAATAGCAAATAGAGGCAAAAAGAAAGCTTGAAAGGGCAGAAAGGAAGGCAAAGAGAACGTCTTAGTCCTGATTGAGTCACCAATAATCACCAATGGTCACAACTCCCCCTTGTGGTAGTTCCCCAGAAGATCGACAACAGCAATCGCTGAGTGTATTAGGCCAATATTGGGGGAGTGGAAATCAGCTCCTTAAGTTTATCAGGAAATCAATCTCGGCTTCAATAGTCAATAATCAGTCTGTCCTAGGATCAAAAGCCAAAGTCCAGGCTCACCATCCACCCGGCGCCCGGTTAGTTTCCGTCAAAATACCACACAGCCAAGTTCAAAGGCAAAAAAAACTATAACAGATAGTACCAGTTAATCAGCAGTCTATAATGGGTCTTCAGCCCTCTGGCTCTCCTGTGGCACCTCAAAGAACTGGCCAGATAGGTCTCCTCCTTTAACGGACGCGAATGTCTTTGTCTAGCCTGTGAGAGAGTTTGGTCTTCTCAACTCTTAGTATAATTACGGTTTCTATGTCCTTCACGTCCGTCAGCACGGTAGCCTCAACGCGAAACCGCGCCCAGCCGCTTCAGCTCCGTCCTCCGCGTCTTCGGCTCACTACCGAGTCAAAGGTAACTTTTTCTTATCAGAGGGCCTCCAAGGGAGTAATTAGAAATAGTTAGACTGAGCCAACCATAAAATTTGAAGTAGCGTCAATTTTCAGGATCTTGCACTGGCGGCTCCGACTTCGCTCCAAACGGAGCACAGCCACGGGTCTGGATAATGGAGGTTGATACAGTTCGGTCCCACGCCGCCGCCTGGAACCGCCCGACCATGTCCTCCCTCTCGTGAGTCCCTCTTCGGGGGACACACAGGAGCAGGGGGTCGACCCCCTCTAGCTCCCCAGAATCACCGTGGAACTCGGCGTTGGGCGGGAGAACTCACCGCTCAACCCCGCAGCGTCGCGCCACAAACCGGAAGTCAATGTCAGATCAGCTGCAAATCTGAGTGCGGGCAGTCCAACAAACTGGGGTGGGGAAAGAATCCGCATCAAACCAGGAATTCTGTCACTGGCTGCTCAGCCGTCGCTACGACTAACTGCGGTCTGCTGCACCATCTCAGTTCACAGGCGACCGTTTGTTTGTTGAATAACACTGCTGCTTCAGGCTGCCCAGCCACAGAAATCGTAATGCGACAGAGATGTCCCTTTGGAATATGGAGAGAGGGCAGGGTGCAAACAGACCAGGGTTCACATACAAACAGGGAATTGTTACTTATGTGTGCCTAGACTTGTTTGAATTTTGGTGCCATCCTACGCAGAGTGACACTATTCCAAGTCCAAGGAAGTGAATGGCAACCCGAGTTGCCGAATGACGGAGTGAGCTCCCATCTCTAGTTCCAGCTCCTGCCAACCTAGCAGTTCGAAAGCAAGACATTGCAAGTAGATAAATAGGTACCACTTCGGTGGGAAGGGAACAGCGTTCCGTGCGCCTCGGTGTTTAGTCATACCGGCCACATGACCACGGAAATGTCTTCGGACAGCGCTGGCTCTTCGGCTTTGAAACGGAGATGAGCACCGCAACCCTAGAGTCGGACTCGACTGGCTTTCCAGCAAGGGAACCTTTACCTTTATACTGAAGACTGCACTGTGAAGTTACCAGAGAAGTCCCTTCCAGTTTGGAGTAGTGGTTAAGAGCGCGGACTCTAATCTGGGAGAACCGGGTTCGATTCCCCACTCCTCCACATGCAGCCGCTGGCGTGACCCTGGGTCCCTCACAACTTCTCTCAGAGCTGTTCTCTCAAGGGCAGTCCTCGAAAGAGCTCTCTCAGCCCCACCTACCTCACAGGGTGTCTGTTGTGGGGAGGGGAAGGAGACTGTAAACTGCTCTGAGACGCCAAGTGAAGGGCGGGGTATAAATCCAATCTCTTCTTCTACTACCACCATAAAAGGATATTCTGTCTCTCTCGAACCAAGGATCCGTCTACCTTGAGGGGGGAAACACTTTACCCGGCAGCCTCAGTTTCTTCAGCGCAGTTGCTTGTAGCCTAGCAGAAGCCGGAAATCTCTCGATTCGTCTTTGCTCAAGTGAGCCATAGGGAGCAGAACTCTGCGTGTGCTTAAGGTACTTCTCTTCTTCTGCATTAGTGCTGCTCAATTCCCAGTGCGGAGGATTCTCCCCACCACCACCACCCTTCCACGTAAGTCACCACTTCTCGAGCTGAAGGAGGGCAGCTCTGAGCAACCGAGCACCTACACATCGACAGAAGCAGAAGTATGCTGTGACGGAAGGCGCTTATACACGCAAGTGAGAATCCCACTCACGGCTCAGTTCTCGTTTTCCCTTAGGAAAGACCCTGGCTTCAAGATGAGCAAATACCAACGGGCAGTAGAAAAAGAGGTGCAGGAGCTCATTAGCATAACTCATTAGCATAACTTCTTTGCATATGCCACACACCTCTGACATCACTGGAAGTGTGTCAGAAGGCAACACCCACCGCTCAGGCTCCACTGGAGTCTGTTTTGGATTGCTAGCTATTGGGGGGGGGGGTTGGAATGTGCAGATCTGTCCTCGCAGAGGAGGGAGAGCTTGTACTTGAATAAAACTAGGTCTTAAAGGTGCCACTGGGCTGTTTTGGATTGGTAGCTATTGGGGGGGGGGGAACGCGCAGATCTGTCCTCGCAGAGGAGGAAGAGCTTGTACCTGAATAAGACTTGGTCTTAAAGGTGCCACTGGACTGTTTTGGACTGGGGGGGAGCTCTGCAACTTACCTGGCTGCTTCTTGCTCTGACTGAGGGCTGCTGGGAGCAGGGGGTGGGGCCTGTTGTATGTGCCCGCCCCCTTACTGCCGGAGCTCCGCTCCTGTGCGCTCCTGCAGGAAATGACCCCTGCCAACGGGGGGGAAAAGACTCTTCACTGATATTTTAGAAATGCTGAATCAGTGTTACTGCCAGCAGAACTCTTCCGGAATGTTTTGGCTTCCAGACTGTTTCGGCTTCGACAGTTCGGGTTTAAGCGAGTCCTTTTCCAAAGTGTCAAGCCTTTGACACATGCCCCCATCACAGCTGCTCTGATGCTCACTCTCTCACTCGGAACTCTGTGCTCTGCCTCGAGTGTCAGGGAGAAAGGCGGCCTATAAATAAGCCCAATGAATCACACACAAAGGACCAACCTTTTCACCAGCCAGAGGAGGATCTCGGAAACCAGCATGAAGTTCGGAGTGCGGAAATTCTCCATGGAGATGAGCCGGGGATACCCCAGGGCCCTCATCATCTCGGTGAAATCTTTCGGAAACAAAGCAAACGTTTTATTTTAATTATTTTTTTTACAGACAGAGGGTCATCACCACCGCATCACCTTCATTCTCCAGGTAGACTAACACACCTGAATGCTAACGTTCACAAAAAGAAAACTGCATCTCTAAAAACAACCTTCCATTTCAATGTTCCTATCAGAGACGGATATTTCCCCAAATGTTCCTACGAAAGTGCTAGAATAATGCAGACCAGTTCCCCTGTATATTTGGAGCACTGCAAACGAGCTGCAGGCCTCCCCACTCCCTATTCATCGAGTCTTATGATCTGCTTCCCTTAAGAACATAAGAGAACATAAGAGAAGCCAGTGTTGGATTAGGCCAGTGGCCCATCAAGGCCAACACTCTGTCACACAGTGGCCAAAAATACCAGGGGCCATCAGGAAGTCCAGCAGTGGGGCCAGGACACTAGGAGCCCTCCCACTGGTGCCCCCCCCCACAAGCACCAAGAAGACAGAGCACCCCTTGCCCCAGACTGAGAGCTCCTGTCTATACCTTGTGGCTAATAGCCACTGAGGGGCCTCTGCTCCATATTAAGAACATAAGAGAAGCCAATTTGGATCAGGCCAATGGCTCATCTAGGCCAACACTCTGTCATACAGTGGCCAAAAAGACCAGGTGCCATCAGGAGGTCCAGCAGTGGGGCCAGGACATTAGAAGCCCTCCCATTGTTGACCCCCCCAAGCACCAAGAATACAGAGCATCCCTTGCCCCAGACCGAGAGCTCCTATCTATACCTTGTGCCTAATAGCCACTGATGGACCTCTGCTCCATATTAAGAACATAAGAGAAGCCAATGTTGGATCAGGCCAATGGCCCATCTAGGCCAACACTCTGTGTCACACAGTGGCCAAAAATACCAGGTGCCATCAGGAGGTCCAGCAGTGGGGCCAGGACACTAGAAGCCTTCCCACTGTTGCCCTCCCCAAGCACCAAGAAGACAGAGCATCCCTTGCCCCAGACTGAGAGCTCCTATCTATACCTTGTGGCTAATAGCCACTGATGGACCTCTGCTCCATATTAAGAACATAAGAGAAGCCAATGTTGAATCAGGCCAATGGCTCATCTAGGCCAACACTCTGTCACATAGTGGCCAAAAATACCAGGGGCCATTGGGAGGTCCAGCAGTGGGGCCAGGACAATAGAAGCCCTCCCACTGTTGCCTCCCCAAGCACCAAGAATACAGAGCATCCCTTGCCCCAGACCGAGAGCTCCTATCTATACCTTGTGTCTAATAGCCACTGATGGACCTCTGCTCCATATGTTTACCCAGTTCCCTCTTGAAGCTGTCCAAGCTTGTGGCTGCTACCACCTCCTGTGGCAGTGCATTCCATGTGTTAATCACTCTTTGAGTGAAGAAGGACTTCCTTTTCTCCATTCTACCCCAACCGCTCAGCAATTTCATGGAGTTCCCCATGATTTCTTGCATTGTGAGAAAGGGAGAAAAGTACTTCTTTCTCGACCTGCTCTATCCCATGCATCATCTTGTAAACCTCGATCATGTCACCCCTCAGCCGTCGTTTCTCCAAGCTAAAGAGCCCCAAGCCCTTTAACCTGTCTTCATAGGGAAAGTGTTTTCTACATCCACAGTGCAGCACGACAGTCAAACAAGCTTTTACCTGGTGGGCGGTAAATCAAAATTGGCGCGAGATGGACTAAAACGGATTTTACTGGCAGCAATCTAAGCACCGCTACTTCCTTAATATATATATTTTTTAATCTGCCCATGCAGAAAGAAATGCATGTAATCTATCACTCATGTTCTCCTTGATGCACTGCCACCGTTTGGGATGGATCGGGGGTGGTCCAGTGCATATGAACTCTGCTTTTCTTCCTCCCTCGATCGCGAGCCTCTTCCAAGACTCCCACAAGCCCTGGCATCTCCGAAAGATTAAACCCGCTGTACCAGCATTTGTGCAGGCCTGGCACTTGGTCAGACACTGAATGTGCTTTCAGGCACATCCAGGTGGGTAGCTGTGTTGGTCTACTGGTTTTAAAATGTATAAATGGTTCTGATAATTTATGCCAATAAAGGCTGACTTGACTTGAATATTTTTTTTAAAAGATGAGAATGCAAGATAAGAAGAGGGGACCGATGAGGGGGAGAGAGAATTCAAAGATGATGCACTGCCACCGTTTGGGATGGATCGGGGGTGGTCCAGTGCATATGAACTCTGCTCTTCTTCCTCCCTCGATCGCGAGCCTCTTCCAAGACTCCCACAAGCCCTGGCATCGCCAAAAGATTGAACGCAGTGTACCAGCATTTGTGCAAGCCTGGCACTTGGTCAGACATTGAATGTGCTTTCAGGCACATTTAGGTGGGGTCGCTGTGTTGGTCTGAAGCAGCAGGACGAAGTTCGAGTCCAGTGGCAACTTTAAGACCAACAAAAGTTGGTCTTAAAGTTCAAGGTATGAGCTTTCATGTGCACACCAGGCGAGTCCGACTCTTCGCGACCCCATGGACCAGGTCACGCCAGGCCCTCCTGTCTTCTGTTGTCCTCTGAAGTTCACTCAATTTCATGTTCGTTGCATCGATGACACTGTCCAACCATCTCATCCTTTGCCGTCCCCGTCTTTGACCTTCAGTCTTTCCCAGCATCAGGGTCTTCTTCTCCAGGAAGTGCTCCCTTCTCATTTGGTGGCCAAAGTATTTGAGCTTCAGTTTCATTATCTGGCCTTCCAGGGAACAGTCAGGGTTGATTTCTTTTAGGATTGACGGATTTGATCTTCTTGCAGTCCAAGGGACTCTTCAAGAGTCTTCTCCAGCACCATAGTTCAAAAGAATCTATTCTTCGGCGCTCAGCCTTCCTTATAGTCCAACTCTTATATGTATGGACTGGTAAATTCCACTTCATTGTGTCTGAGGAAGAGTGTGTGCACACAAAAGCTCATACCTTGAATAAAACTTTGTTGGTCTTAAAGGCGCCACCGGACTCAAATTTCGATTCGGGCACATGTGATACACGCAACTTTGGATCGGGTCTGCATTACTCACAGGTGCACAGTCAAAATGGTATCATTTCATACCACATTATTCTGGTTTACAATGCAATCTCACACCTCTTGCTTCTCCTCCCTCTCACACATGTGGGCTGCTCCCACAGACAGAAATAAGCAATGTACTCTGTGAGGCCCTAGAAACACCCTCCTTCTGCAGCTGTAGCTTGTCACAGCATTACTAATTCCATACCCGCCTCATGGAAAATGAACCCAATGCCACCCTGCTGCTTCTGCAGTCCATCAACCAGAAGAATGGTGTTTATCGTTTGGCATTCGGGGAAATACGCCACCGAATTTGTCACTCACAAAGCTTTAGGCTCATACATCTGAGCAGAATAAACAAAGCCGGGCTGTGCACTGATGCCAATTACGGCAAGATTAGTAAATAGCTCTGATTTGCATCGTGAGACACGGTCCTCGCTATCGTTCATAGCAAACCATCAACATAAATGGCTTTTAAAGGGGTTTATTAAACCACGGAGGGACACGCTCCAAGGCACATGCAATTTTAATTTTGACAGCGGGAAAGGAAAAAACGAGAAGGGGCAGTAAGAGGGAAGGGCAGCATCAGTCAAATTCTCTCTCACATGCTTCATCACTCCCTTCCTCCAAGGGAGTACTTGATTCTCCCATCCTTCATTCTGTCTTTGCAGTTTCAGACAGTAGCTGTGTTGGTCTGCGGCAAAACGGTTAGGCTGCGGTCACACACACTAAACAATCCACGTCCAATGCACCTTTCCAACTGGATTTTGCCAGTTCACACAGTAAAATCCAGTTGGAAAGTACACAGAAAGTGGACTGGAAGCGGATTGTTTAGTGTGCGTGACCACAGCCTTACACTTGAGTCCACTAGGCACCTTAGAAACCAACAAGAGTTTCACAACAGCCCTTTGAGGTAGGTTAGGCTAAAAGGCAACAGGGTCCAGGCCGCAGAGACCTGGATTCAAGCCCAACCCCCACCCTCCCCCACAAGTCACAAAAGCTCATTAGGTGACCAGTCACCTTCTCTCACCTCAGCCTACCTCACAGGACTGTTGTGAGGATTTTACAAAGAAGGCCGGGAGAACCTCACTTGCCATCCTAAGGAAGGAGAAGGTAAAAGCTTGATAAATATAGGTGAGCTAGTAGGTTGCAGTTGCCAACTCTAGGTTCAGAAATACCTGGGGATTTGAGGGTGGGGTCTGGGAAAATGGGATTTAGGGTGGGAAAGGACGTCGGCAGGGCACGCCCGCAGTCCGCTTTCCAAAGCAGCCATTTCCCCCAGGAGAAGTGGAATACATATTTTTAATAAACATGTGATGCGTGTAGTTTAAAGATCAGCTGTCATTCCGGGACCTCTCCAGCTCTCGCCCAAAGGCTGTTATTAGACGAACCAAAATACAGTCATGATGTAATTCCTCAGTGTAACATCGCATAGTCAGTTATATTGTTTACCAAACACATTCGTAACAGGGCTTTTTTCTGGAGGGATGCACCGGAACAGAGTTCCGGAACATCTTTGACAAAATTCCTTTTTAAAATGTTTTAAAGTTCATGAGTTTTCAGTATACAGATTGAGAACTTCATTCCCCTCCTGAGAGTTCTGGCGCCTCTTAAAAAAAACAAAACACCAGCCGCGAACATATCCATATCATGGATAAATGTTTTAAATAAATAAAGGTCTCGTGCCAAAGTTCAGTTCTAATTATTTCCTTATCAGTTTCTTCTCGTGTATATTTAGTCCAATCATAACAACTATCAGGGTTTCCAATGGGCCAGCTAAAGATGCCCATTTCCGTGCGCGGACTCTAATCCGGGAGAACCGAGTTGGCAAGATGGAGCGTGTCCAGAAGAGGGCAACCGGGATGGCGAGAGGGTTGGAATCCAAGACTTATGAGGAAAGGCTGAAAGAGTTGGGTCTGTTTAGCCTGGGAAAGAGAAGGCTTAGAGGGGACACGATTGCAGTCTTCAAGTATTTGAAGGGCTGTCATGTAGAAGATGGAGCAGATCTATTCTCTCTTGCTCCGGATTGCAAGACTAGAGCTAATGGGTGGAAATGACAAGGGAGTCATTACCGGCTAAATATCAGGAGAAACTTCCTAACTGTAAGAGTGGTTGAGCAGTGGAACAGTTTGCC